CACGGGTCACGTGAAAGGTACCGAGCGGGTACAATCCTCCATAGTTTCAGGGGAAATCTCCATCACAGTAATAAGGACGGAGCAATAATGAAACTAAAATAATAATACTCACCAACCAGATGGTCAAGAGTTACTAGTGGCCAAGAGCAACAGGACTATTTACCCACCTCAGTAACTACCGGTACCGGTGCAGACGGGACTATGGACTAGACCTAAGCTAAACTTATCCGATTCAACAGTGCATTTCCACCCTCCTCCCTAAAGACCAAGTGACTCCTCCTCTTGCTTGCTATGGACTTGGATGAAGGGATCCATCATGGATGAATATCCAGCCCACCCTGGGAGAATCTTGCATGCACCACCACCAATAACCGATACCAGGAATCCACATGCAGAGAGGGTCTTTGCATCAGATCGCCTCTTGGACCCCCTCCCAGCGCCAGCCATCGTCATTCCGCCGATCGTGCTGTGTGCCCCTGTCAACTACTTACTTGTAACCAGGTTATGAGCACTCACTAACTAACTTACCTACTCTGTCTCTGATAACTCAAAAGTGGTCCTTCCCCCCCCCCTCCTTCCTGGCTTATAGTTGGTAGAGACAGCAAGCGCTTGCAATCTGACCGACTGTTCTATGCGTTAACTTAACTCAGTCTTAGTTAAGTTACCGTCTGTGTCCATAGCACTCTCCCGTTGGAGAAATTCTTTTGTTCTTCGCCTCTTCTTCCACTCCTCTTTTCTCCTCCTAATCTCCCCCTCCCCCCCATAATTTAAGGCGTAAGGCCCACCCCGTCCGTGCTATCATATCCACTTCCAACACCCCCTGTTCCGCTAAAGACGCGCGCGCTCCCAAATAACTCCCCTCCGAGCCTCTCAGCCTGTTGCGTTTCGCATACTCCTTTTTTCCTTACTTCTCCCGCCATACCGACCTTCCAGTTGCCACAGCTCTCTCGTATCTCGCTCTTCCCCAACGCCCATCGGATCAACCGAACACTCTTATCACAATCATCAAAAATGTCATCGGACTCGGAGCAAGAATGGAAGCCCAGCGGTCGCCCTCAGTCGTTCGTACTCCTTTGCGCTCCTCCCCTCCGTTCTTAGATGTGGGCGTTGACCAAGACATGGCAGGACCATGGCACAGGCCTTTTCGACCGCGCTGGATAGCGCCTTTTCTCTAGACACCGATGTCAATCATCTCTCACAGACCATTGACCAAAAGTAGGTTCCACTCCCATTCTCAACGAATATTCATCCTGAGACCCATCCTGTGCCGGGCCTCTGTCGGCAGGTCACCACATGATCGCATGAGCTGATAGAGCAACTCTACCAGGAAGCTGCAGATGATGATCCAGACCCGCGAACTCGAACAACTTCAAGCCAAGATCCGCGAAGCCGAAGAACGCCTCAAAGCTCGACAGTCGGTGATTATGGAGGCCAGAAACCCTGCAGCGCAAAGAGACGGTCGGTTCTACGGAGGCTCAGGTAAATCGAGCCTCGCCGTTTGATCTCGCCGATAACAACATCGCTAACCGCCATCGCTGCTGATCAGGAAACACGTCAGCGTCGTCGTCGCCCACCGATTCAGCACAATACTCCAGCGGCGATGAACAGCTGCGACGCAGCCAAGGCCGCAGTTCATAACGGCATGTAGGCGGGCCAGCGTGGGCACATTAGCATATAATCTGGGTTATGGTTTCAAGGACAGGAGAATCTGATGGGCTTCGACTTCACTGCTACAATATTTTATATATCCTTATCGGGCGAGCATGTTTGGGAGAAATCGGTTTTTGTTTTTTTGTTTTTTTGTTTCTCTTTCTTCTTCAATTCTCATTCTTTGCCTTTCTGTTTGTTTGCACCGGTCATCGTGTTCCCACACTCGCGCATACCTCATCGCATGGGAGGGTCAAGCAGATGTCGGTGCACAGGTTTTGTTGCTCGAGTCCTTTTCGCGCTGGGTAGCGTCGATGGCCGAGTTGAGCGTGCATGCCACGATCTCACGAGTCTAGTGGGTGAAGGGGTGTTTTATCATTCTTCTGTGGCGTAACATGTTCCATTATCATATTCTGATAGTCAACAAGCGGATTATTTCTCAGGAGCGGGTTGTTTCTTGAACGTTTCGAGTGGTTTGTGAAGATGAAATGAGAGTGAAGAAGAAGACGACGCTGCGGGCAGCTGTGTTTGTCTTAGGGTAACGGACTGAGTCGCCCCCTCGATGGTCTATTTTTAGCCCAACTGTTTGTTGCACAGCATCCGATCGATGCCTCGGGGAATGTGAGTCCAGAAAAAGATCCCTTCCTCCGTGCCCAAACTATCTGTGCTTTTGCTGTACAGTGCTGGATGAGCAGTCAATGGAAGAGAAGAATCCTCCTCGAGTGGCTCATGTCAATGTCGATCGAGTGCCGTGCCCGACCCGACCGACAGCGCCGATCCATCCATCTCCTACCGCGACAGGAGCGCTTGACAGGAGTATTTCTCTGCTCGATGTGAATGGGTCGTTTTCCAACGGCCCTAATGTTGCTCGATGGTGCCTTATCGCCCTTACTCGGTTCTATGTTGCCAAGGTCACGATTGATGGGGCAGAAATGCCTTTCTTTTCGTGCGGATATTCTTCCCAACGGGCGTTCGGTTGATCGTCACGGCTAGCTTTGAAATCGTCCCGGCCGTGATTGCAATGGGTGTCAGTCAGACCCGACAAGAAAAGATCTTGATCGTTTGCCGGTGATTCTGAGACTGGCAGCCTGGTCGACTCATTCTCATGAGGGGTTTATCTACTCTCAACTTCGGCAATACGCTGTTGAATCTGCTAACCGCAAATGGCGAATCCTGTTCGTATTGATAATAACTAATGCTGAGTAACTAGATGGTGAGTGTAACTCTGGGCGGAGCAATGCAGAGTCAATCTCATCAATCTCTTTTTTTTTTTTTTTTTTTCATCACACTTCTCAATTTGCATTCTTCTGTGGAATTTTGGTGCACGCCCATGATGGCAATGATGTCAGTGCTGCTCTGCCCCAACCAGGGAAAACGCGGGCGAAACCCCAGAAAAGCGCCAAAGAGGCGTCCGAGCGAGGGTCCAGACCATACATAGTCTCTAGCAGGCAGACTCTGCTATCGCCAGTCCCTCCCCTCTCATGCTCTGTGTTGTCGTGCAGCATGAATGATAAGTTAGCTCCCTAGTACAGTACCTAGTTAGTCGGTACCGTAGTCTAGTTAATTAATATCAGGTTCAGCTAGTCTTCTAGCTCGTCGAGCTCCCGGAAGGATTCCCTGTTTCCTTTGGTTGTGTTGCTGCCCCTCCCCTCATCATCATCATCATTTTCTCCGGCTTCCTTCTCTTCCTCTCTCTCTCTCTCTCTCTCTCTCTCTTTTTCTACACTAGACTAACTAAACTTACTTACTCCGACTCCGTCATCTTTTCTCCTCGTTCCCCTTCCTTCCCCTCACCTGTTTCTCCTTCTTTTGTTTTCTTTTCCTTTTTCTTTTCTCTCTCCATCTCACTCTCCCCTTCCGTTGTTTGTAACTGCCATTCTCCCTCCCGTGGTAGATTCTCTTATCTACTACCCGAAGGGCGTTCGATCGGCGTCACCATGGTCCTCATCGACAAGCATTCGTACGAATCCCGCGAGGAGCAACGACTCAAGGAAGATCGCGAGCGCACTCGCTACTGGAAACGCTGGGGTCCCTACGTCGCCGAGAGACAATGGGCTACTGGTATGCTCTCTCCCCTTCTATCTGGAGGCTGGGAGATTTCATATGAAACTGACGCAATGACCTCATTTCTCCTGCCGCCCCGCAGTTCGCGAAGATTACTCGTAAGCGTTACTCTTTCGTGCACTTCGCTGCAAGATGCATCAATGGCATCAATTGAACCATCGCTGACGGAATATCTTATTTCTACACTTTCAGTGAGAATGGAGATGCCTGGAGCTGTAAGTTGCGCTCACATGCTGATTATACCACTCGTGACTGATCGCTCTGATCCGCTGTAGACTTTTCCCACGACCATGCGCGGTCCCGAACTTACCGCTGGGGTGAGGACGGTATCGCCGGTGTGTCCGATACCCACAGCTTGCAAAACATCGCTTTTGCTTTTTGGAACGGCAAAGAGTATGTGGGGTCCGGTCCACGTCTGTAGTAAACTTCGCTCACCTTCGATTTTAGCGACTTCTTGAAGGAGCGTCTGTTCGGTTTGTCTAATCCCCAGGGAAACCATGGCGAGAGTGTCAAGGAGGCCCATTTCCACCTCGATAACACTCCGACAGTAAGACCCTTCTACTCCCTCGGCGTGGATGTGGCTTCGGTCTGGTTTCTAATCCGACCACGCGCATAGCACTCTTACATGAAATTCCTCTACAAGTATCCCCAGAAGAAGTTTCCCTACCAGGAGCTTGCTGAGGAGAACGCACGACGCGGGAAAAGTGACCGCGAGTACCAGATCCTCGACACTGATGCCTTCGATGAGAACCGTTACTGGGATATCTTCATCGAGACTGCGAAAGAGGACGACGATGAGGAAGAACTCTTGTTCCGCATTATCGCCTACAATCGAGGACCTGAGCCAGCGCACTTGCACATCATCCCGCATGTGTGGTTCCGCAACACCTGGGCATGGGGGTATGAGGAGAAGAACGCCAAGCCGTCCGTGGAGAAAGCCTATCCTCTGATTGCTAAGACCAAACACCACAAACTTGGCGAGCGCTATGTCCGGTTCTCTCCTTCCCCGTCTGTGACTGGGGAGGAAGATGTGGTTCCTAAGCTGCTGTTCACCGAGAACGAAACCAACAACGAATTTCTCTGGAACACCAAGAATGACCAGCCCTACGTCAAGGACGCCTTTCATCGTCACATTGTCAACGGTGAGAAGGGTGCAGTCAATCCCGAAAACAAGGGTACCAAGTTTGCCGCCTGGTATGCCTTTGATGAGGGCGAGGGTGTTCCTCCCGGCGAATGCGTGGTCGTTCGTTTCCGATTCTCTCGACGCCTGGAACCGTTCATCGATGAAGAAGTGCTGGATGATGTGATCGACCAGCGCAGAAACGAGGCCGATGACTTCTACTACCATATCAGCCCTTTGCCCATGAGCGATGACTTGCGGAATATTCAGCGGCAAGCTTTCTCCGGAATGATGTGGAACAAGCAGTTCTACCATTTCGTCTGGGACCAGTGGGCTAATGGCGACCCTGCGATGATCCCACCTCCTCCCGGTAGGAAGCACGTTCGAAACCAGCAGTGGAAACACTTGTACATGGAGGATATTCTCTCGATGCCCGATTCGTGGGAATATCCATTCTTCGCTGCGTGGGATACTGCGTTCCACTGCATTCCACTTGCAATGATCGACCCGGAATTTGCGAAAAAGCAGCTGGACATCCTCACTCGCGAGTGGTACATGCATCCCAACGGTCAGCTTGCAGCCTACGAGTGGAACTTCGGTGATGTTAACCCTCCTGTTCATGCCTGGGCTACGTTCCGCGTCTTCAAGATTGAGCGTAAGATGTATGGACGGCAGGACCTTGATTTCTTGGAGCGGGTGTTCCAGAAGCTGTTGCTAAACTTCACATGGTGGGTCAACCGAAAGGATTCCGACGGTAAGAACGTCTTTGAGGGCGGCTTTTTGGGGCTGGACAACATCGGCCTCTTCAACCGCTCCGAGCCTCTCCCCACCGGCGGTGTGCTGGAGCAGGCCGATAGCACAGGATGGATGGCCTTCTACTGCTTGTGCATGTTGAACATCGCGTTGGAGCTGGCCAAGCATCGGAGAATTTACGAAGACAGTGAGTGATCTCACTCTCTATATTGAGCTACTTATGTGCTGATAGAGGTCCAGTTGCCTCCAAATTCTTCGAGCACTTCATTCTGATTAGTGATGCCATGACTTTCCGATCAGGAGGTCAGGAATCGTCCCTCTGGAACGAGGAAGATGGGTCAGTGGTCCGATGCCTTACAATTCGAATAATTGCTTACGATGTATAGTTTCTATTACGATGCGATCTCCTACGGTGACCCATGGACCCAGCAGCTACCTGTGCGGTCTTTGGTCGGCTTGATCCCTCTCTATGCCGTCCTCACACTTGAGCCAGAGTTGATCAACAAGTTCCCATCTTTCAAGAAGCGTTTGGAATGGTTCGTTGAGAATCGCCAAGATGTGGCCGAGCGCAACATTGCAAGCATGAAGCACCGCGGCAAAGACGAGCGACTCCTTCTAGCGTTGGTGAGCAAGGACCGCCTGGAGAAAATTCTCAAGCGCATGCTGGACGAGACCGAGTTTCTGTCGGAGCACGGCATTCGATCGATGTCCAAGTATCATGGAGAACACCCCTATTCGATGGATGTCAACGGCCAGACATTCCGAGTCAGCTATGTTCCAGGAGACTCCGACAGTGGGCTATTCGGAGGTAACAGCAACTGGCGTGGGCCGATCTGGTTGTGTGTCAACTTCCTGCTCATCGAGTCTTTGCTACGCTTCTACATGTTCTATGGCGATTCGTTCAAGATTGAGTGTCCCACAGGCTCCGGCGAGTACATGCATCTCGGACACATTGCCGAAGAGATTCAGCACCGGCTGCAGCACCTGTTCGCCCGCAACGACGAAGGCCGCCGGGCAGTACACAATGGATCCGACCTCCTCGACTTTGACGAGCACTGGAAGGATTACATGTGGTTCCATGAGTTCTTCGACGGAGACACCGGCCGCGGTCTTGGAGCGTCTCACCAGTGCGGATGGACTGGTCTCATTGCCAAGATCATCCATGACACAGGGTATGTCACACTTTACACTTTGGTCTGTCTATTGTTTTCCTGGCTAATAGTGCTATAAGTATCAACTGCCGTCTCCCTCAAACACCCCGCACCCCCCACGCAGCAGCATCGCACTACTTCGACGACGTCTTCACTCGATTCTCCCGCCCACGCGGCAGCCGTCGTCCCAGCGTTCGCCGCTCTTCCACGACCCGCTCAATCGGCAACCGCAGCGACTTCGAGTCCACTCTCTCTGGACGCGAGACCCCGGCTCCTGAGACTGCCCTCGACGAGGACGACGACAACCGGAAAGTCGACACCGACCTCCAGAACGAGCATGTTCACAAATATGTGGAGAGTCAGCTGCAGCGCGTAAGAAGCCAAGCTTCGATTGGAGCGTACGAGGATGAATTTGAGGCGCAGGCAGACCGCGCCCCCAACGGGCATTGAATTTTATGGAAAGATGACATTGAATGAGAGAAAGATGAAGTCGACGGGGACGAGAACCTAGTACAAAGTTAGACAGATGTTTATTTCCGAAGATGTGTTAGATGGGTAGTAATGCTGTTGATTTTAGAGCGGTGATCATTTCGAAAGCATGAATAAAGATTGTCTGATTGTCTGTTTTTCCCCCTCCTTTTCAAGCTGAACTGCCGCATACAGGGAATGAAGATATAACCCCTCACTCGGACCTCTTGCTCTGAATATACATTCATCGCCTGTATTGTTCCGCGGCTTTGTTTCTCGTCATTCTCTGGCTTGGTGCAGGGTCTACCCTCGCTCTCACCAACCAACCCCTTAACCTCTATTTAAATGTCTCCCATCCGATAACATCACCAACCGGAAAAGAGCCCGAAATTGACCAACCTCGGCGAAATCCCAACATAGAGTGGAATGCATTATATCTTATCTATGTAGAGCCAACACCCGCTTCCTTCCCTTCAACGAAAACCACAAAACCATGATTCGAGCACGCAAACCAGCTACACATGTTTATCCTGAACTAAAATAGTAGTCAACACCCCAAGTCCCGTTCCTCAAGCCAGGAGCAGGCGCCTCGCCGACTATATAGCTGTGCTACATACTTACTGTAGAGTACAGTACAGTACATTGAAGACGCGGACCATCCATCCGCAGCCAGCGATTCTGCAATACTGCAACTCCGCTGGATTACTTGCCCCGGATCGGAACCT